TAGTAGTAGTAGTAGTAGTAGTCGTAGTCGTAATGGTAGCAGTAGTAATAATATAGTCGAAGTAGTAGAGTAGTTAGTAGTAGTAGTAGTCGTAGTCGTAGTCGTAGTAGTAGTAGTACTAGTAGTAGTAGTGTAGTAGGTAGTAGTGTAGTAGTAGTTCGTAGAGTAGCCGTAGTAGAAAGTAGTTAGTAGTCGTAATAGTAGCAGTAGTAGTAGTAGCAGTAGTAATAAAAGTAGAAGTCGTAGTAGTAATAGCATTAGTAGCCGTAGTAGTAGTAATAGTAGACGTAGTAGTCGTAGTAGCAGTAGTAGTAGTAGTAGTAGTAGTAGTAGTAGTAGTGGTAGTAGTCGCAGTAGTAGTAGTAGTAGTAGTAGTCGTAGTCGTAGTCGTAGTAGTAGTAGTGGTAGTAGTAGTAGTAGTAGTGATAGTAGTAGCAGTAGTAGTAGTAGTAGCAGTAGTGGCGGTGGTAGTAGTAGTAGGTAATGGTGGTAGTAGTAGTAGTAGTAGTAGTAGAAGTAATAACTGAAGTTGTAGTCGTAGTCGTAATCGTGGTCGTAAACGTAGTAATAGCAGTAAAGTAGTACTAGTAGTAGTAGTAGTAGTAGTAGTAGTAGTAGTAGTAGTAGTAGTAGTAGTAGTAGTAGTAGTAGTAGTAGTAGTAGTAGTAGTAGTACTAGTAGTAGTAGTAGTAGTAGTAGTAGTAGTAGTAGTAGTAGTAGTAGTAGTAGTAGTAGTAGTAGTAGTAGTAGTAGTAGTAGTAGTAGTAGTAGTAGTAGTAGTAGTAGTAGTAGTAGTAGTAGTAGTAGTAGTAGTAGTAGTAGTAGTAGTAGTAGTAGTAGTAGTAGTAGTAGTAGTAGTAGTAGTAGTAGTTAGTAGTAGTAGTAGTAGTAGTAGTAGTAGTAGTAGTAGTAGTAGTAGTAGTAGTAGTAGTAGTAGTAGTAGTAGTAGTAATAGTAGTAGTAGCGGTGGTAGTAGTAGTAGTAGTACTACTACTACTACTACTACTAGTAGCAGTAGTAGTAATAGTAACCGTAGTAATCATAATCCCACTGCTAATGAGAGGATGAGGAGGAGGAGAGGGAGGAGGAGGAGGAGGAGGAGGAGGAGGAAGAGGAGGAGGAGGAGGAGGAGAAGGAGGACGAGGAGGAGGAGGGGGGGGAGGAGGAGGAAAATGAATAGGAGGAGGGACCCACACCAAAATTATTCCCGTCGGCCGAAAAATCTCTCCGTCGGCCTAAAGATTTCTCCGGATTCTTATGGATTCGCAAAGATTCCTAAGGATTCCTGAAGGAATCCGGAGGAGTCCTGAGGAATTCCTAAAGATCCTAAAGAATCCAAAGGATCCTAAGGAATCCCAAAGACCCTAAGGAATCCGAAGGATCCTAAGGGATCCTGAGGAATCCTACGGAATCCTAAGGAATCCTGAGGAATCCTAAGGCATCCTAAGGAATCGAAGTATTTCTGAAGAAGAAAGAAATACTTCTGGAGAAAAAAGTAGTACTTCTGAAGACCCCATGGTTGCAATTTTGGGCGCCCGAGTTATCCGGGGTGACTCGGGTCCAGGGTAACTCGGGTTTGGATTCCCGAAAAACGAACCCGAGTTATCCCTGACCCGAGTTACCCCTGATGATTCGGGGCTCTGGACGCCCGAGTAATCCGGGGTAACTCTGGTCCGGGGTAACTCGGGTTTGGATTCCCGAAAAACGAACCCGAGTTATCCCTGACCCGAGTTACCCCTGATGATTCGGGGCTCTGACAATTGATCCCACTTCTGGTTGCAATTCGCTCCGAGCAGTTGGAATTGGGACACGTCGGTTGTAATTCGTCCCATTTAAGGGTTCACCCCCCCCCCTGGCGCCCGGGGGGTGGGTTCAACCCCCCCACACACACCCCTCATCGCGCCGGCGCCGGCGCTGACGGCGGCCAGCAGCGCAAGTGCTGGCGCCGGCGACGGCGGGGACGCAGCAACGAATATACCACCAGTACCGCCACCAACACCAGTACCACCACCACCACCGCCTCAACCCACCACCACCACCACCGCCAAAAACCACCACCACCACCACACCACCACCACACCACCACAACCCACCACCACCACCACAACTCACCATCACCACCACCACCACCGCCACCACCACAACTACCACCACCACCACTACCACAATCTACCACACCACCACCACCACCGCCACAACCATCACCACTACCAGCACCACAACCCACCACCACCCACCACCGCCACACCTCCACCACCGCCACCACCACCACATCACCACTACACACCACCACACCGCCACAACCACAACCCACCACCACCGCCACCACCGCCCACCACCTCCACCACCACCCACCACCACCACCACCACAAAACCACCACACCACCACACCACCCCACCACAAACCACCACACCACCACCAAATCACCACCACCACCACAACCACCACCACCACAAACAACCACTCACCACACCAAACACCACCCCACCACCACCCACACAAACCACCACCACCACAACAACCCACCACACCACCACCACAACCACCACCACCGCCACCACCACCACCACCACCACCACAACCCACCACCACCACCACCACCGTCGTCCTCGTCGTCGCTCCCCGCCACCACCGCCCGCCGCCGCAGGCGCCGGCGCTGGCCCAGAAATGGAAATCGTCGTCCCCGCCGCCGTCGCCAGCCGCCGCCGACGCAAGCGCCGGCCCGAGGAGAAGGAAACCAAAAGGGCGGGGGTTGGAAGCCCGCCCCTCCGTCACGGGAGCGGGGGGGGGGTCTGGTTCCAACCCCTCCCCCCTCCAAGCGACCACAGAACGCGCGCTTTTTCAGACATGTAATGCCCATGTTGGTTCCCAGTGCTGGGCGGGCAGAGCAGCGATGCCGTCAGCTCCCACGTCGGGCTCAATTACGTCGGGGGGGCGGCGCGGAACGGATGTAGGCATGCATGCATGCCTACATCCGTTCCGCGATCAGGAGAGCAGCGAAGCCGCGGGCTTGCACCTCGGGTTCACTTTCTTCGGTGGGGCGGGGGGCGTCGCGGAACGGATTTAGGCCAGCATTGCCGAGATCCGTTCCCAGTCCCAGGCGGGCAGGAGAGCAGCGAAGCCATGGGTTCGCACGTCGGGCTCACTTTCGTCGGGGGGAGATGCATCGGAATGGGTCGAGGCACGCCATATCCGCATCCGTCCTCAGTGTCAGGCAGTCAGCAATGCAGCGAACTGCGCCGCCCCGCAGGCGATGGCACGACGGCGCCGGTGGCCGCCGCGCCCCTGCCTCGACTAGACTTAAGAGTGACCTCTTGCTGGGGTGACCTTTGGCGCGGGCGAAGATGGGCCCCCAGATGTCTGAAAACGACACAGTAGCAGCTGGTTGCGCACCCAGGTTTGGCCCCCCCGCGGCCCCCAACGAGCCGCGCACCAAAGGTCACTCTTACCCAGGGTCTCTCTTACGTGTAGCCGGCTGCCTCGCGCCGCCAGACGCTGGCGAGGATCGCAGCGCCTGGCCCGCTGTCTCCCCCGGCATGCGCGCCGATTCTGCACTGCTGCGTTCAAATTAGGTTTTGTTTGCATTCTGATAAGGCCAAACCAATTGATTAGAATAGCTCCTCGAGTTCAGGCTCGCGGTGGCAGTTGCATTGCCCTCTCTGGCCTCTGCCCCAGAGTCGGGGGGGCGACGAGCCGCGCGGGAACCTGGCGATGCTGTCGCATCGTTCATCTGAATATGCTTCACAACGCCATTCAGGTTTTTGCTTGCTTCCGTTGCCATCGGCTCAAGGCGGCTTTACCTTCGCAGTCAGGAAAGCTCAGTGCATCTGCATCTAACCGGCGGCCGCTTCTTCTGAGGAAGGCATGGCGTCTATGGTCGAGCAACTTCGCGCCGCGTCTGGCGCCGCCCAGCAGGCCCAGGCCTCGGCCCACTCGACCTCCGCTTCGATGCGCAGCAAGATCGAGCAATTCGCGAGGCTGTCGGAGCAAGGAGAAGCAACGCCACCACCACCGGGAGCCCATACCCATCGGGGAGATACACGACGCCTCCTCCAGCTGAAGATTGGGGATGTCTCGAGCGCGAGGGGGAAAGGGAACACCACCGGGGAGATCCCTTTGGCTCCTCGCCCAGTCGGCGGCGGCGTTGATTTTCTTTGTCCCTAGGCATGGGGGCGCCACGCCAGAATAGACCGCGCGCGTGGAGCGACTCAGCCAGATACTCGGCGGAAGTGGTGCCACGGGTGTTGCGGCGGGCGCGGCCGGCGCTCAGGGCCCCCAGCCATTCCCCAGAGGATCCCTATAGCTTGATTTAAGCTTTTCGTAAATTTGCTTATTATGTACGAATTTGCTTGTTATGGTCCAGAACCAGGTTTTGCTTTTGACCGCGTACATCGCGCTTGCATATAGAGCGTTTGCCTAGGTGACTACGAATTACTGGCTACACATTCGCTCCTTATATCTAATGTCCCTTCTCTCTCCTCTTTTTCCTCGTCCCCATGCGTCGTTCTTCGCATTACAGGTCGGGGCTCGGCGCGGGGTCGTTTTCGCCTGTCCGATGAACCAAATGGGTGCGGGGGGGAGGCGATGCCGCCGTGCGTAGGCGCAGGGGGGATGAGGAGAAAAAAGGGGGAACAAGAAGGGGAGAGCGATACACATATATATATATAGATATAAGTCTATACATGTATGTCTATATATATAAAGAGAGAGAGAGAGAGAGAGAGAGAGAGAAAAAAAAAAAAGGGAAAAGAGAGAAAGAGAGGAAGAGAGAGAGAGACAACACACACGTGAAAACAAACAAAGGAGACGAACTGAGGTGTCATCACGGGCCCGTTCGCGCCCATATAAAAAGGTTTTGTTTCACAGCACCACGTTTACCGCGATGTAGCAGACATCTCAGTTGGGCCTCCCAGGGTTGCGTCGACGAGGGATGGCAATCATTGTTGCTCGAGCTTTTCGAGCTGATCTGCGGATCTCGGCTTTCAGGGCTCTCCGCCCGATGGGTCGTGGCTCGCGCCAGACGTGCTCAGATGCCGAAGGCATTGCACACGCTCTGGGGGAGTTCGTGACGAGGCCCGACTTTTGCGACTACGGCAGCAAGATGGACAAAAGCCCCGTGGAGCAGGACAAGCTCACGGCGGCCAGGGATATGCTGCGGGCTCTCCACGAGGTCCATTGGATGGAAAACGAAGGAGGATGAGGATGAGGATGAGGATGAGGATGAGGATGAGGATGATGATGATGAGGAGGAGGAGGAGGAGGTGGGGAAAGGGATGCAACATAATAGAGAGGAGGGAAGGACAGGAAACAATGGGCGGAAGGAGGACGTGAGGACAGAAACAATAGAAAGAAGCAAGGAGGAGTGAGGGAAAGGAACGAGAAGGAATTAAGCGCAGGAGAAAGCATGGATGAGGAGCAGCAGGCATGAAGGGTGAGGACGAGGAGTCGGTGAAGGGGGCAATGAGGAGAGTGGGATACTATTGGTGCGCTCCCAGGTTGCTTCCAACCTGAGCTTAAACCAGCTGGGCATGGAGAAGCCCCTCAAGGACATCGCGGGGGACGGGTCCGCCATTGAGCTGAACAAGAAGTTCATCGACGACTGGGCGACCGAGCAGGCGAAACGGGTGAGGACCATGTGCAGGCGCGGGGCCCACCATCAAACCACGGACTGGGCGAGGGAGGAGGAGGAGGAGGAGGAGGAGGAGGAGGAGGAGGAGGAGGAGGAGGAGGAGGGGGAGGAGGAGGAGGAGGAGGAGGAGGAGGAGGAGGAGGAGGAGGAGGAGGAGGAGGAGGAGGAGGGGGAGGAGGAGGAGGAGGAGCAGGAAGAGGAAGGAGGAGGAAGAGAAAGGAGAGGGGTGAGAAATAGACTCGGGAGTGTAACGAAACAGAGAATTTCGGTCACCATCCACTCCCTGCCCGCTTCCCGCCCGCTTCCCGCTCGCTTCCCGCACGCTTCCCGCCCGCTTCCCGCCCGCTTCCCGTCCGCTTCCCGCCCGCTTCCCACCCGCTTCCCGCCCGCTTCCTACCCCCTCCTCGCCGACCCCCCTCTCCGGTCCGGTGCGCCCAGCAGGCACGCTAGCAATTACAACTCCATGCAGGGCGGCGGGCCCCAGTGGTTCAAAGAGCTCGGCACTTCGGCGAGGGTGGTCATGAGGATGAGGATGAGGACTCCCAGCCGCTGGTGTTGAAGCGCCCTGCAGCAGCCTGCCCAGGCTCGGTCAGCGACGACGACTCCGCGAAGCCCAGGAAGAGGAGCAAGGCGAAGTCGGACGGCAGCTCGATCGTCGAGGTCGTCAAGCCTGCTGCGGTCAGCTCGCTGCCAAATCCCGACGAGGACGACTTCGAGTACGGCTTCGATGCAGAGATGCGTTGCGCTTGGCACAAGAAGATCAACGGGGGCAAGAAGGCCATCATCGAGTTCTCCGAGGACGTCTGGGTTCCAGAGCTTGCCAAGCGCTGCGACCCTGTGATGGCTAAGTTTCCGAACGGCTACGTGCGCGAGGTGCTGATGTGCACCGTGGCCATGTGGCAGAACGGCGAAGATCAGGCCCCCGCTGCCAAGTTGAACCAGCACGCCGCGGACAAGGAGAAGACGGACAAGCCCTCGGAGAAGGGCAAGTCGCCGCAGCAGCAGGGCGAGGAGTTCGAGACGGCGACGGGCGCGGGAGAGAAAAAAAAGCTCAGGTGGGAAACGCCGAAGGGCGATGACGTCGTCTCTGTCAATTTCATCTGGGACGGGCCCAAGGGCTCGCAGAAGCAACGGTTGTGCAGAGTCCAGGAGAACGGCAAGAACTTCTTCCAGATCAACTGCAAGCACTTCGACTCCGAGGAGGACGCCATGGAGTTCATGAAGAATCGGGCGCTTCGCTACGCCGCTGGGACGATCACCAAAGAAGAGGCTGAGCAGGAGAAGAAGCACTACATCGACCAGAGGGCGCCACGGACCGCCGAGGAGAAGCCGAACGCCGCGAGGAAGAAGCCACGGACCACCGAGGAGAAGCCGAAGGTCGCGGACGGGGTGCAGACTCCGCCATCCACACGCCCGCGCTGCCCATCGCCTCAGCCACAGATCTCGGCTGGGGAGGCTGGGGCGGTGCACAGTCAGAACGAGAGGGAGCTCGAGGGCGATCTCAAGCAGTCGGGCGACTTGGCCAAGTCCAAGGGCTCGAACGCCCTCTGCCTCGGGGGGGAGCGGAGTGGCATCATCAGCCCTCCGAATTTCACTGATTCGGAGAACTCGGACTGTGACCAGTGAGGATAATGAGAAATCCAGTCGTAGCTATCCGCCCTCTCTGGCCTTGAATTCGCCCGTCCTCCGCCAGTGCGTGACAGCGTTACTCGATATCTGCTTTTCCCCAAAAGGTTGCTTCTCGCCTGTGCACAGGCGCAAATGGCTATTTAGCGGAGTGGGCCGCTGGCCTCATAGCGGGGTTCATTTTCGGGCACGCGTCTGTTAATCAAGAGCTAGGTTGAGTTCGAGATTTAAACAAACACAATATCATACAAGACGGGGTTGGCAACAGTACAAAACACGAGTACACTCAGTTATAGGACGTTTGCTTAGCAATGCATGCGTCGTTTCCTGTTTACCCCTCCAGCCCCAACCCGCCAGACCTCCGCCATATCCCTTGTGTTCTCATCCCTCCAACCACCGCCAATCCTCCTTCGTGAACTCCTTGCCTTGCTCCTTTCCTGAACCCTCCCCCCCGCGAGCACGCGGGGGGGACAGGAACAGGGCGATGCAGGGAGTAGCGCGATGGAGATGGCGGGCAGACGCGGTTGGGATGGAAGGTGCGATTGTAGCTACGATATCTCCTCGTCACCGCCTCACCGTTACCGCAGCCACGACCTCAGGAGTGAAGGGCACTACGTGCCTGCTAGCAGATACAACTCATCGAGCAAGCTATAGCGGCATGGCACTACAGAGATCCATGACGTGCACCCCGCCGACTCCGCAGCAGGAGACACGGGGGCAACAGAACAGGCGACGAACAGCACGCAGTATAACCCCTCCCCCCCGCATCAGCTAATTTAAGTTGGGCCCCAACTCGTTTCATGTACCTCATTTGCCCTGACATCCGCCCGCGCTGCCAAGAGGAGATCGCCGAAGGCAGGCGCTCGCCGCAGCCCGAGCAGCCCGCCCCAGCCGTGCTGGTTGAGGACAGCCCGCCGCGCGCTGGGCAGGACGGGCACGCCGAGGAGTCCGCGGTCGTGGAGAGCCACGTCCGCGCGGAGGGATTGACTGGCAACGAGCACTCCACGGACGGCGGCTGCGACCCAACCCAGCAGGCTCGCTCGCAGGACGTCGACGCCGCGCTGGCGCCCTTCGACGGCGAGCAGGCGCCCTCGACCACGATCCAGCAGCGCTTCGCGGCCCCTGACGCTCTCGAGCGGGCACAGCCGCTGGAGGACGAGGCCCCATCCGAGCAGCTTGCCCCGTCAGATGCAGGGGGCACTTGCGAGAAGTTGGACGTGGACGCTGCAGTAGCCCCGACGGGCGAGGCCGAGGAGAGCGAGGGATTGGCTCAGCTGATTCGGACCCAGGGCGAACGCGCCGCCGACATCCAGCGACAGATGAACGTGACGAAGGCGGAGTCGGCGCTCCTCGCTGAGGCCGATCGTCTGATGCAGAGGTTCCGCCCAGGAGGAGTGTTTGGCGTCCATGGCGATGGGCCACCTGTGGACGCCGAGGGCTCGGCGGCCGCGAAGCCGCCAAGCCTCGTCAACGCCGAGAAGATGCTCATGGAGAGGTTCCTGAAGATGCAGGGCGGCGCGCAGGATGAGGATGATGCGGAGGACAAGCTGGACGAGATGCTCGAGGAAGCCTTGAAGGTCCACACCGACACCACGCTGGAGAGTGCGTTCGCGAACGGCTTCCACACCCTCGACATGAGCTCGGCCATGGGCAAGCGGTACAAGCTGTACCCGCCGTCGTGTCGTCCGTGCGTCAGGGCAGCGCCCAACGCTAACGGGAAGGGGGAGGAGCAGTCAATGCTCCTCCACCTCCTCCTCCTCCTCCTCCTCACCATCGCCCTCATCCTTCTCCCCCTCATACTCATCACCCTCATCCTTCTCTTCCTCCTTCTCCTCCTCCTCCTCCTCAGCCTCCCTCATCCTCCTCGGCCTCCCTCCTCCTTCCTCCTCCCTCCCCCCCCCCCGCCCCAAGTACCTCTTGAAAGCGAAGGACGAGGCTGAGAAGTACGGGAAGGCGCAGAAGGACGACAATACGAAGATGATGCGCGATTGGGTGCAGGGCAAGTGGCACGACTACCAGGATTCGGGGCTTACGAGACGAGGCGAACGTCATCTCCGATGTTTCCCTCACCTTTCTCATCCAGTCGCCCCTTTCACCTGGTCCTCCCCTCGGTCGCCTTCGCCTCCCTACCTTCCCCCTCCCCCCCCCCTGAACCTGCTCATCCTCTCATTCACTTTCTCTCCGCCCCATGCCATCGCTGCAGTGCTCACGCGCTGGCATCGCTGACCCGACCGATCGGGCAGACGGGCGAGGCGGGTGGCCAAGTTGCACGGGGTCGAGAGGGGAAGAGGAGGAGGAGGGCACGGGAGCTAGGGGAGACTTAAGATGAGGATCGGGATGCGCACGCGCCCGATATGAAGTAACCGAAACCACGAGGGGAACTACTTTCTAAAAGTGGTTTCCCTCGTGTTTGGGGCTACATAGGAGGTGTGAGCAAGACGTGCAACGTAGGACGACGATCTGCAGATGAGTCGAACTTTGCGGGAGGGCGGGGGCATCGAGGAGGCGGGTGCAGGGGCAGGAGAGAGTTTTTGTGTATCGGCCCCGACCCTACGTCCCCAGGAGACCAGGGCCAAGATCACGCAGACGATCAAGCAGGACACGGAGCGAGGCGTCATGAGGAACTTGGACGCCATGATCGTGGCGGAGGGCGGCCACCAGAGCCCCGCGTGCATCGAAGGGGCCATCAACAAGGCGATCTACGCGCTGAAGCAGGGCGGCCCGCGGTGGGTCAGGTTCAACAAGCGGAGCAAACGCCTCGAGTTCCGCGACGTCGAGGAGTCGGACTGCAACATCAGGGACACGATCCACGTGACGCGCCAGCAAGAGGCGCAACGGGGCAAGAGGATATGGGGGAGGAGGCAGGCACAGAGGGAGGAGGGTATGGAGGAGAGTAGCAATGATGAGGAGGGGGATGAGGCGGAGGAGGTAGAGGAGGAACAGGACAAGGAGATGTGGGACAGGAAACGGAGGTAGAGGTGAACAACTGCAAGAGGAGGAAGACGGGGAGGAAAACGAGGAGGAGGAGGAAGAGGAGGAGGAGGAGGACGAGATGAAACGAGGAGTGAAACCATGGGGATGGAGGGGAGGGGAAGGATCAGTGAGAAGGGGAGGAATGGTGAGGAGAAGCAAGGCATGGTGGAGGATGGAAGAGCCAGGCGCGCCAGCACACGGAGCCAGCAGCCAGCGGGCTGCCGACGGGGCATCTGCCAGCTCAGGCAGCAGCCGCAGCCCCAGAAGCCACAGCAGCAGCCCCAGCAGACACAGCCCAGGCGCCAGCCGCCCCAGAACAGGATGAGACTACGCCACAGCCCCAGCCTGGCCGCCGAATGCTCACTGAGGCGCCGTCGACTCCGTCCAAGCGCCGCAAGCGCGCGCAGGCTCCTGCTACGGGCGAGGCGGCAGCGGGCACGTGCGCGGCCACCATGTGCAAGCCGAAGGCCGAGGCTCAGCTCAAGCCAAAGGCCAAGGGGGCCGCCAAGGGGAAGGCCAAGTCCAAGGCGGGGGCCAGGCGCAGCAACAAGGGCTCGCCGAAGCCGCCCACGATCAACGCGAGGACCACGGTGAAGAAGGTGGCCGAGGTGGTGCAGAGGAGCAACTGTGAGCTGAACAGGGCACTTCGGATGTACCCAAACCCACCCGCATCAAATTCCCATCCCCCTCCCTTATCGGGAGGCGGGGCGCAGCCCCGCGAGGGCGAAAGGGTAAATTTGAGCCCAGGCACGCAACCTCATCGACGAGCTGAAGAAGAACAACCCCGAGTGGAGCTTCGCCAGGGGGACAAGTTCGAGAGGCCTTTGATCACCGCGTTCGACATGCTGAACTCGACAACGGCGGCGGACCCCATCATGAAGGCGGGCATGCAGGGCGGCGCCATCGAGCTGGGCCAGCGCGACGACCTCAACACCGTCTGGGCGAACTGCACCAAAGTGGAGAAGCTGGTGGAGGACCTGCAGACCAAGGTCACGAAGCTCAGGAACATGTACGACTTTGTCAACGGCCAGTCGGAGTAGGCAGCCTGCTCCCGTGGGGGCGCGCCCTTCACTTCTGCAGGCAATCGGTTTGAGCAGAGGTGGCAAGAAGGAGGAGGTAGGAGGAGGAGGAGGAGGAGAAGGAGGAGGAGAAGGAGGAGGAGGAGGGAGAGGATGAGGAGGAGGAGGAGGAGGAGGAGGAGGAGGAGGAGGAGGAGGGGGAGGGGAGGGGATGGCAGGGAGGAAGCGGAGGGGGGAGGGAGGGAGGAGAGGTGGATGGAGGAGGTGTCAGAGACAACATTGCAGATTGGGCGGCTCGCGCGCTTGCGAGACAAGCGCGCGGGCACGACACGTGCCAGCGCGAGGCATGGGCGCGCCTCTCGACTGAAAAAAACTATGTTTCTGGTGTCGCAAAGGTGCCGTGACGTTCAGATTGCACCAATTGCAAACGGAAACACGCTGGGCGGGAGTCGGGCGGGAACCGGGCGGGAACCGGGTGGGAACCGGGCGGGGACCGGGCGGGAACCAGGCGGAGGCCACCAAACCATATATATATATATATATACATACACAGGAGGGAACCGGGCGGGAACCGGGCGGGAACCGGGTGGGAACCGGGTGGGAACCGGGTGGGAACCAGGCGGGAAACATGAACACAAAACACACGCTCAGAAGGAAAAAAAAAAAACGCGCCGTGAGCAACAACCATAACACATCAAAAATAACAAAAACAAAAAAAAAAACAAATATATATATATATATATATAAAACAACCAAACACAAACATACAAAGCAACTGCCCATCGCAAACTGTGTTGACTGAATCTCGCTCAGATGGTGTCGGTGGCTTCTGGACGTTGCGCCCTGCCGCGCCCTGGACAGCTTTCAGCTCTAGAGCGGCTCGGATCCGTCTCAGAGCAGCCAGGACAGATGGGGGAGGAGGAAGAGGGAAGATGAGGAGCGAGGACAGAGGAGTAGGAGGAAGGAAATGGAGGAGGGAGGAGAGCGTGGTACACATGACTCCAAATT